TTTTTTGCTTGCTCCTGTTTAATCCCATGATGCTCAAAATTTGCCTCTAGCATGCTCAGCCAAAACTTGAGTAAGATTTTGGCTACATCAAATGGTTGCATCCTGACTTGGAATGACAGCCATGGCAATGGTGAGAGTAAACACAACTTACTCTTGTCTATAGTTTTCCTGCCCATCCACAGCCCATACTCTTGCAGCCTGATGCTCCTTGCATCATCTGGAACCCAGACTCCCAGCATCTGCTGTTAATCCTTGTTACCAGTATTAGGGTTTAGGCGGGAAGGAAAAACACATCTTAACCGCATATTTATTGTAAAACCACGCTCACCGGTATAAAAAACGTCATGTATAAACTTACAGTACTGTACAGTATTTATATATATGTACTCCCTAAAACAAAATAGCATCTGATCTTAATAGTATGAACCTAACCTAGGCAATATTTAATCCAATAATTTATTCTCTATCCTAACAGGTACATAAGCCAGAACATCCTAGCCGTCATGGAGCTGATCCGAAAACTGCTCCACAACAGCCCAAACGCACAAGACGGCCGCCAAGTGGGTACAAGGCCTGTGGTCTTCCACAGTAAGGGCTCCAGAGAGCACAATCAGCTGCACATGGAGCTGCCACTTGCCCACATCCTTGGAAGCACTGTAAGGAATGGGTCCTATGTAGTATATGAAAATATAAAAAACTAAAGCAGGGATGATTATAACCAATGAACAATGTGGAAGCAGTTCAGTGTAAATGTTCTAATTTTGTAAGCATTAGAAAAGTAGCAGTCTATCTGTTCAGGGTAGTAGGGATAGTCACCTTGTGGGAGTGAACAACTTTAAAGAGAGTAAAAACTTTACTCTATATTAGTGTATAAACTCTGAAAGTACATTTAGTGTCTGAAACAAATATCTAAATATAAGTGTTAAATGTCGAAAAATAGAAAAAAGCCCTCTGAATACACTTGAAAGCCTTGAAAATCTCTTAAGATTGTTGGAACAATAGTGGAGGGTGAGTGCACACTAGATTTTACACACCCCAATGTAATTCTCTATGAATGTCAGAGAATAACAGAGTACATAGAGGTGGCTCAAGACAAAGAGGAAAAAGGCTCAAGGAGCCAGGTAGGAACAAAGCAGTTGGCCCAGATGAAGTTTCACCTTGGGTTCTGAGAGAATGCACATGTGAGCTCAGGACTCCACTTCAATTGATTTTTCAATCATTTTTGTGTACAGGAGCCTTGTCATATACAGTACAGTATACGGAAAAAGGATAACAGTTCCAATCTACAAAAACGATAGCAAGGAAGACTCTCCTAATTATAGATCTGTATCACTGACAAGCGTGGAGGTTAGAGGCATTAAATATGCCAAAACTAGAAGACAGAAGAAAAAGAGGTGATATGATCACTACGTACAAAATAGTAACAGGAATTGATAAAATCTATAGGGAAGATTTCCTGAAACCTGGAACTTCAAGAACAAGAGGTCATAGATTTAAACTAGCTAAACACAGATGCCGAAGAAATATAAGAAAATTCACTTTCGCAAACAGAGTGGTAGATGGTTGGAACAAGTTAGGTGAGAAGGTGGTGGAGGCCAAGACCGTTAGTAGTTTCAAAACGTTATATGACAATGAGTGCTGGGAAGACGGGATACCACGAGCGTAGCTCTCATCCTGTAACTACACTTAGGTAACTACACTTAGGTAATTACACTTAGGTAATTATTACTAGAAAAAATAATTTAAACCAAATGGATAGAACACCTGGAGAGAAATTATATAATAATAAACAGTATGTTTTCAAACAGGAAGATCTTGAGTAATAAATCAGGGTAACAAATTACTCAAATCAAATTGATTTGAGTAATCAAATCAACTTCGTTCCTGTGATACAGCCATAAGGATTATACATTCAAGAGACAAAAAAAAAAGGCTTCTGACAGTCTCACATAAGAGGTTGTTTTGGAAACTGGAATATACTGGAGTGCATGACAGAGACTGTCCGACAGAAAAATGAGGGCAGTAATAATAGGTACTATCAGAGTGGAGAAATGCTTCTAGTGGAGTACCACAGGGTTAAGTTTTAGCCCCAGTAATATTGTTTATTTTATATACAGTATAAACGATCTACCAAAGGCAAAAAAAATTATATGAATATGTTTGCTGATGTTGCCAAGCTAATAAGGAAGATTAGAAACTTTGATGACTGTCATGCTCTTCAAGAAGACATGGACAAAGTGCATAGAGCAACCCTTAGCAAATGAATTTTAATGCGAATAAATGCCACATTATGGAATGCGGAGTAGAAGATAGGCCACACAATCTAAATTATGTGAAAAAGCTTAAAAAAGAGTTCTGAGAGAGAAAGTCATCTAAGGGTTGTTCTGGAGACAAAAACTGTCACCTGAAGACCATCTAAAGAACATTGTGTGAGGAACGCATGCTATGCTTTTCAAACTTCTGAAATGCTTTTAAACACATGGATGGAGAAATAATAAAGAAATTGTTCACAACTTTTGTGAGATCAAAGTTGGAGTATGTAGTGGTTGTATGGTGCCCATATCTCAAGAAGTACTTAGTATAGCAATAAACTGAAAAAGGTAGAAAAAACATGCAACCAAATGGCTTGTGTAACTGAATAACTAAAGCTATGAGAAAAGACTAAATATTAAATATATATACGTGTTAAATAAATAAAAAAATAAATTTATATATATATATATATATATATATATATATATATATATATATATATATATATATATATATATATATATATATATATATATATATATATATATATATATATATATATATATATATATATATATATATATATATATATATATATATATATATATATATATATATATATATATATATATATATATGTCGTACCTAGTAGCCAGAACGCACTTCTCAGCCTACTATGCATGGCCCGATTTGCCTAATAAGCCAAGTTTTCCTGAAGTAATATATTTTCTCTAATTTTTTTCTTATGAAATGATAAAGCTACCCATTTCATTCTATATGAGGTCAATTTTTTTTTATTGGAGTTAAAATTAACGTAGATTTATGACCGAACCTAACCAACCCTACCTAACCTAACCTAACCTATCTTTATAGGTTAGGTTAAGTTAGGTAGCCGAAAAAGTTAGGTTAGGTAAGGTTAGGTAGGTTAGGTAGTCGAAAAACAAATAATTCATGAAAACTTGGCTTATTAGGCAAATCGGGCCTTGTATAGTAGGCTGAGAAGTGCGTTCTGGCTACTAGGTACGACATATATATATATATATATATATATATATGTATATATATATTATATATTATTTATATTGTAACCCTTTTTGTGTAATGAAGTTTTAAATCAAATAAAATTACAAAATAAAAAAAATACAGAGGGTTGTAGGAGAAAACAATATGCGAGTGTACTCAGGTGGTCCACGGGGCTCTTCCAGATGTTGCATGTCATCTTCTTTGAGGTCGAGGGTCCCTACAAATGCAACCAGAGGTGGTACCCCCACATATTAAAAACAAAATGCCACCTGATTGGATGCCACCTCCAAGGGATCCAATCAAACACCACACTACAAACCTTGAATGCAGGTAAAATTAGCCCAAAAAAAGGAAGCTACCTGATATGCTTCATGTCTTGAGGCAGACTCAGGCTCAGATAATATATAGAAACCCAACAAGAGCACATATTGAATGGTCAAAGGTGTCACCGATCCAACAAGATAAATAAATACTGTATAAATAAATAAATACATAAGTAAATAAATTATTAAACAAACAATGCAGCAGAGACAGATAGAATAACTGTTCGTGTGCAGCAAACACCTTTCAAACTCACATGTAGCGAGACTGAACTCAATGAATCGATCCATGATGAGCCACACTGCAGACCCACAGAAGTTATCAGGGCATGAAGCAGACTAACCAAGAAGAACACCAAGGTACTAAGGATGCTCGCTGAAAGAACAGGCATCAAACGCAGTCTATGGGATAAACTCGGCTATGAAAGGTATCCATGGAATACAGTATGAATAAGTGCACATACTCTAGTGTGTGTGCCAATTAACAACCAAAAATGATGACCCCCAAGCCAGAGAGCCTAGCAGAGGAGTCAACGACCTGTGCACTACCCAGGGTAAGGCACTACAGCTGAGTGGCCTGACCTCTCAGGGACACACTCCTGAACACAAGCGAAATGTTGTTCTGTCAGTGCAGGGGCAATGCTAGATAAGCACTTAGGAAAGGGTCACCCTAGACACATGCAGCTCATAGTAGAGAATAGGCCAAGTTCATGCAAGAGGTACAGCAGAGAAACACATGTTCGTGAAGCAAATACTGAGTACTAAAATAACAGGAATGATACACAAAGTAAACAACCCCCACAAGAAAATGTCTGAAGGCTGACCAGCACTTATTTGAGAAAAAAGTGAGATTCGTTGTGATGAGGCAACTCAAAAAGAACCAATTGATTGTTTTCTTGTACATCAGCAACAGAACCTATCTGGAGCTGGTTGGTAACGTGGAACCAGTTGGAGCCTGATGACGCCTGCTATTGACAGCCTTTAGCACTAGGGGATTTGAGCAAGTTTCAAGAGAACGATTTGTTTTGAACGAATTGTTTGCGAAGTCGTTTGACTGTTATGGTGCATCATAATCCTTGCAATTGTCTGTAATGCTTCAATTACTTTCTGAATTCTTTCTGGTGTGAGTGATTGTAACAATCCCCAGCTCTGTGCCTCTCAAGGGACCAGGTTCTGGCTGTAGTACCCGGTAGACCAAACAGGACTCCTGTCACAGATGTGATTCAGTGGTGGGAAGCTATCTCTTCAATATAGCTTCAGGGAGCCACCAAGGGGGCTTCCCTAGAAAAATCCTTATCAGATCTTGCTCAACAATTAAGTAGTAATCAAAATTGTGTTAAGAGACCAAGACTTTAATTTATACCAATATGAAATATATAAAAATAACAAAGAATATATACTCACTCATAATCCTGACTCTGCCAAGCTTATCCATGAGGAGGGATGTGATCAATGTGCCAGGGATCATTGTCAGTTGCCCTATCAAATTCTCTTGAAACACTGCCTTATAATGGATGTTATAATCAAAATCTAAAGTACAGCCAGGTGCAAGTGCATGGAATTTGTTGTTTATCATTTCACAGTCCTGGAAACGATAGTCATATATGTCGGTATCGATGAAAGTGTTGCGAGCTATGTGGGAATACCTGTGAGGGGGGAAAAAACAGCTACAGAAAACTCAAATTTACAGATAATAAAAAAATAATTAGTAACAAAGTAGTAGGCCATGAGTCACAATAACATGGCTGAAGTATGTTGATCAGACTACACACTAGAAGGTGAAGGGACAAGGACGTTTCGGTCCGTCCTGGACCATTCTCCAAAATGGTCCAGGACAGACCGAAACGTCGTCGTCCCTTCACCTTCTAGTGTGTGGTCTGGTCAACAACAAATTAGTACATTTAAAAGAAAAAATTGGACCATCCTATTTTCCCAATTTATTTCTGACTTAGTTATGTTCAATTTTAGGCATCATAAATTAAACCTAATTATATGACAGAAATGCAAAGTGAGAGATGACACTTCTTAACCTTGCAGTTGTGATAGGAACCAGATGATCTGTAGGTCACAGCAGATATTTTTTTATGTAAACATACAGTACTTTCACTTATAACACTCCAGTTTTGAACATAATGAAATGCCTCTCTCTTGTGGATCCCTCAGTGGTTCACTGTGGATCTCCTTACCTCATTATCTTTAAACCTAACATGCCCTACCAGGCCCTTACGAGTCATAAAAACCTACACAAACCAGAAACAGAATCAAGTCCACTGATTAGAGGTGCAGGAGTACTAGATAAACCCAAGCTAAGAGGAAAAAGTCACCAGAAACATAGTGTTCCAAAAGAAGCAACTGTATGGAGAAAATTAGCAACACTGTCAACTAGGTTCTCACTCATTATCCAGTCAGATGGCTATTCCCCACTAATGTTCATTGTCTACATAAACAATCTACCAGATGGAATACAGAATTATATGAACATGTTTGCTGATGATAGGCCTGGAGGCCTATCATTAATTTTAGTCTAAAATACTAGGGAAGATAAGAAACTTAGATGATTGTCATGCCCTTCAAGAAGACTTGGACAAAATAAGTGTGAGCACCACTTGGCAAATGGAATTTAATGTGAATAAATGACATGTTATGGAATGTGGAATAGGAGAACGTAGATCCCACACAACCTATAAATTATGTAAGAAATCTTTAAGGAATTCGAATAGAGAGAGAGCGAGAGATCTAGGGGTGGTTCTAGATAGAAAACTATCACCCAAGGACCACATAAGGAACATCATGCGAGGAGTCTATGCTAGTAACAAAGTAGATGGCAAAATTCCTTAGTATTCTCATCGGTAACAAGCTGAATTTCCAGGGACAGCAAGAAAAAGTATCTAAAACTGTTGGCATTCTTTCTAAGATCAGATATTAAGTACCTCGCCCTGCTCTGGTGACGCTCTATCACTCTCTCATCTATCCTTATCTCAATTATGGTATTTGTGCTTGGGGTTCTACTAGTACTACTCAAAATCATTTACGTCCTCTAATTATTCAACACAAAGCTGCTATTAGGACAATATCTAACTCTGGCTGCAGACAGCACTCAAAACCCTTATTCAAATCTTTGAATATGTTAGCTATTAAGCCACTGCACATCCTCTCATGTGTACTCTGTATATTTAAAACTCTGAACTGTAATGTCAATCCTGACCTTAAAAGCTTCCTAGAAGGTTGTAACAGAACCTATGGGCACCACACCAGAAACAAATACCTATTTGATATTCCAAGAGTGCGACTTATTGAAACTAGAAGTGCTCTACAAATCATGGGACCCAGAATGTGGAATGGCCTTCCCAATCATGTCAAAGGCTGTACATCTCTCAACCAGTTTAAGAGTAGAACTAAGTACTACCTAATTAACTCCATGTAACCTACCTTACCCCCTAAATGTCAACCCATCTCCTGCTATTTTAAACAATGCTGTTTGTTGACTAACTTGTATGATTGCTGATTTCTGTCATGTTCCCCCCCCCCTTTTTTTATTCCTTTTTTCAACACAATTTATACTTTTAATCTCAATTACTATTAAGTTTTAGTCTAAGTGGTTTTTCCCCTCTCCTCGCCTGAAAAGCTATGCATATTAGTGGCTTTAGGTATTGTATGTATAGCACTATCTATAAATCCAACATTATGTTTGTAGCTCATCATCTATGTATGTACTTTTCCTGAATAATTTTGAATTTTGAATTTTGAATGATGTCATGCCAAAATCACCAATGCTCGGTCAACTGTTGACCTCCTAATGCTTTTCCATTACCTGAGGCAGAAAGTTTCCATCTTTAGCTTTTCAAGACGGCTGATACCTGAAGTTACAGCATCACAGAAGCAGCACTACCACACTATACTGCATTACAGAAGCAGCAATACCACCCTCAAGCAAATCACCAATAGTACTTACTTAAAAAATGTCTTGCTGCTTCTGACATCAGAGAAGAGGCAGTCAGTTATTGAACAGTTGAGAAAAAGAACGTGATTGATGAGGGTTTTACTAAAAGTAACGTTGTTGAAGATTGTCTGCACAAATTGGATATTGTCCAGAGTAGTGCTGTTGAATGAACGATGCTCATACACCTCATCTGAAATAATTATTCAGCATTAAGGTTAAAAAGAATGACTGTTTCCCCTGATGTGACAAATGCACTTGCATATAACTCATAACATTTGATCCTACCATAGAAATTCACTTTCATTATTTCAGTTTTAAGATTATGATTCTTCAATTACGGCATGATGAGTTCTTTTTTAAAAAGTAGGACTGTAAGAAAATAAATATTGTAAAGCTCCATTACAAGTTTCATCGTCAAACACAATTTCAAAATCCGGGATGATAAATATGTCTACAGAACCATAAGGGGATGCTGCCAACACTGCAGCCTATGCTCAAGTAAACCTTGCCTTACACAATGCAGGAATGTGGCTACTGAATTATTTATTTATTTATTTATTTATTTATTTATTTATTTATTTATATATATACAAGAAGGTACATTGGGATTGTGAGGATACATAATATGGTAATTACAATCTTGTAAAGCCACTAATAGCTTTATTAGTGGCTTTTATTATCACTAATAGGCAGCATTTCGGGCAGGTGACAAATCTGCTTGTATATCCTGCACTTTAAATATAGTAGCTGTAAGTTATGTGATGAATAAAATAAATGTGATACAATAACTGTACCTTAGTACTGTACTGTACATGATGGAACACCAAACTACCTCAATCTGAACTTGCAATTGTGGAGGTTAGTTACGTGCTTAGTTTCACACTAAATCAATTAAACCCAAACAAGATATCCTTCATGACTGAACAAAAGTAACTAAATAATTAAAATTTTAATGTACATCTACATAAACGATTCTGTTAATATAAGGCATACCTGAGGTAACATTGGCATGGCTGTTGTATTCCTCACTCTTCAGCAACTTGATGTATTCTGGGAACCAAACTGACAGACCATAGAACCTGCCAAAAAAATTAATTTACAATTACAAATTAAATTTTGATGACTATTGATAATGTTATTGCAAGAGTAGTAACCAAAAACTAGCATAAAGATTAACTCTGGCTAGAACACTTAAATTGTCTGCCAGACAGCACAGTTCACACACCCAAAAGCTATGCAGACATAATTTGTTCTGTAAGTCATACCTCTTTCACCAATGTGAAGAGAGCCACCTCAGGGTGACCGAACATCTCGCAGAGCTACTAGACAGTTCCCTATGTGGAAATGAGCTGGAATCAAAATACTCTGCAAAAATGTTGGAAACACGCCACATATGGACCGCACAGGCAATTGAACCCAAAAAATCCAAAAGAAGAGCCACCCACAGTGTCCAGCACCACAAGGTATAAAGCTGAAGAAACCCCCCAGTGGTTCAGGCAATGAACCACTGGGGAGCAGTCAGAGTGGAGCCAGAGAACAGAGTCCGGAGGGAGCCAAATCCTCCACAATGTTTGCCACATTGCTGCAAATATGCAAACCATGATGTCTATCTGAGGAAACAGACCCAACCCTAAGAAACCACCAACCCTAAGAGGCCTATCAAGCAATGGTCATAAAACCCCAACCCAGAGCCGATGTATCTGCAAAGACATTGAGCAACAGAGCTGGAAAGTACAATGAGACCAAACCCCAAAAGGAAAGCCAACAAAGTAACAGCCAGCAAAGGGCTGCTGAACCCAGTGGTCATTGCAACAGCAAAATGAGCAGAACCAGAAGAACCAGTAGACAGCCCTTAGCCAAACTCTGCCCAATGGGAAGACATGCAGGCAAAATTTAGGACCCAGCCCAGCTGCTCGAACAACTGTCGAGTGACTGAGAACAGTTCAAAACTAGATTGTGATGCAGCTGCAAATTCAGGAAGGCCTAAGGAGGCAAGGAAAAAGACAGTGACCAAGAGTACCAGACACGACCAAATAATTTTTGAAATTGGGGACAGAATAACTGGAACTTTCACCAGTTCACCAGAAACCCAAACCTAGCAAAGCTAGAAAAAATCACATTCCTGGCTAGCCAACACACAGACTGACTGGGAGCCCAAACCAGCCTATACTACACTTTCTAATTCAGAATTACTTGTAAATACATGGATGGTGAAATACTAAAGAAATTGTTCACGACTTTTGTTAGAACAAAGCTGGAATATGCAGCTGTTGTATGGTGCCCATCTTAAGAAGCACATCAACAAACTGGAAAAGGTGCAAAGACATGCAACTAAACGGCTCCTGAAACTGAAGAACAAGAGCTTTGAGGAGAGGTTAGAGGCATAAAATATGCAAAAACTAGATGATAGAAGAAAAAGAGGCGATATGATCATTACGTACAAAACAGTAATAGGAATCGATAAAATTGACAGGGAAGAATTCCCGAGACCTGGAACTTTCAAATTCAAATTTAAATGTTTATTCAGGTAAAGTACATACATACAAGGGGTGATACAAATATTGATGAATTTATAGATAGAGCTAGTACATACAATGCATACGTATGTACATACTTCAAGAACAAGAGGTCACAGATTTAAACTAGCTAAACAAAGCTGCCGAAGAAATATAATAAAAATTTACTTTCGCAAACAGAGTGGTAGATGGTTGGAACAAGTTAGGTGAGAAGGTGGTGGAGGCCAAAATCGTCAGTAGTTTTAACGTGTTATATTACAGAGTGCTGGGAAGACAGGACACCATGAACATAGCTCTCAGAAATCCTCTCGATAAATCCAACATTCTGTTTGTAACTCATCTTGTATGTACTGTATGTGCTTTTACCTGAATAAATATTTATTATTATTACTGTATATTACATACATTATTATTATTATCCAGTAACTGCACTTAAGTAATTTCACTAGGGTAATTACACTAAGCTGATTAAGCTGATTTGTCATGGAAGGCCTATGATTCCATTCACTCACATATTCTCTTCCACATTATAATAAATGTAATGCATATTTTTTTTTACAAATAAGAAATAAATGCTTAATTTTAAAAAGTGTAGGTAAACTCACCCAAATGAACATGTTAACCACACAATCAGTAGCAAGAGAGTGGTCGTCAAGTAAGGTGGTAGGAACAGCTGGAAGAAGAGGCCCCAAAACTGGAAAGATTTTAGGAAGCATTATATAAGAGCATCAGTGAATAAACTGTAGTATACAATTGAAGTATATATCCCCCCTCCCTCCCCTCACCAAAGAAAAAACAAACAGAAGAAATAAATAATTTAACCTTCAGGAAACATTTGAAGGTGTATTAAGATACCTTCAGGAAACATTTGTATAAAGCATTTTTTAATAAAAGAAAAATGCATTGCTATGCATATTACTGAACATTTGTTCAGCAAAGCAGGTAAATCCAGCCTAAAAATTCAGCAGGTAAATTCAGCAAAGCAGGTAAATCCAGCCTAAAAAGTGTGCACTGCAATCAGAGATTTTCTGGAATCAAATCTAGGTTGCACTGTATAGTACTGTAGAATTGAAAACCTACCTGCTCTAGACCATAGGAAATATCAGACACAAAGTTCTTCCCAACTCCCTGGGGTGGAGTGTGTCGAGGAGGGCGATTAGTACCAGATGGCAACTCCAGCTCTGTCAGTTGGTACTCTGCTCCAGGATTATGAGCATTGTTCCATTTGAAGATTTTCTGTACAAGTAAAAAAAAAGTATATAATAGATGGTTTTTATATAAGATCACTGAAAAATTTATTAATTGAAAAGGCCTATCCATGCAATAAATATGCAATATCCAATATCCTAAATGGGTTAAGCTAACCAGAATCTCCTAGCATTAACCATGATTAACTACAAACATTTCTCACTGTTATTCATACTTGCATTTCCTGCATTTTTAAATTGTTTACTTATTTCATTTTCTCTCTTATTTAAGTTCTATGCAGGATCTAAATTTGAACTTTGAAAATTCTTTACAAGTATGCCATGCAATGGCTGGCATGAAAATAAAATATGCAGAAAATAATGAATATAAAGAAAAGAAAAACAATTATAGTTTCCAGAGAGATACTGAGAAAATATTACAATATTTATCAGGGAAAATGTAATTTTGTCAACAAAACTTGAGGGCTCGATCATACCTATTACTCATTATCTCACAAAAATCCTGATATACTGAACTTGCAATTAAAAAGCATCTGCTTAACCTATAACAGAGAACTGTAAGCAGAAATCACATAAATACTGAATATTCCAAGTAATGCTTTAGAGTGTCTTGACACTTGTGAACCTGTTTACTCATAAAATCAAAAACATATTCCATGGGCAAAATAAAGATCTTATTGAGAGAAATAAGTAATGAGCTCATTAACCCTAGGGTACATACCTTGTAAACCATCATAGCCTCTACTTCCCGTCCTTTCTCCAGCAAGAACCGAGGGGACTCTGGCATGAAATACAGACCAACTACTGCCCCAAATGATGGCAAGGAACATACGACAAGAAACACACGCCAGGAGCTGAAGTGATGCTCTTCATCCAAAACAACTGTAATACCTAAGAAACATTATTTTATTAATGACCCCTCCCACTGCCTCATCTTAAAATAAACCTGTAATCCTGTTGAAATGAAGGAGACTGGGAGGTAAAATTACAAAAATTCAAAAATTCATCAGACGTAATAGCACACGTTCATAATGTAGAGTGCAAGTGAGCTTAGATAGTACTACTTGGTTAATTGTTGTACAATGCTAGATGCAGAAAGAGTGAAACAGTAACAGAATACAATCATCCTTACACACATTAACACAAACTGTGTACCAATTGCATCCTATAGTTTAATAACAAAAGAGTCTACAAAGCTCACCTGTTCTTGGTATAATTATCCAGGCCATCAGTGCAGTGAACACTCCACCAATTGCCCAGAACACCAACAACCAAGACAAATGACGTCCTCGTTCTGCCTGAGTAACAAACTCACAGTAGTAAGCAAACACAATGGGGATCCCACCACCAATCCTAAAAGAAAAAATTTGCAAAATAAGAATAATATTGAATACTAGCATTTTTTTGCCCTAATTCAATTATTTATCTTAGCATTTACATATACAGTATTAGTTACAGACTTACTTCAATATATTTGTGGTCATTTAACTAAGCAGATGAAGACTAAGCTACATACCACAAAATGAGGAGACGACTATATTTCAGTTCGTACTAGGCCATTATCAAGTCGATTGTGATAATCAACTTGATAATATTCCAGGACGGACTGAAACAACGTCGTCATCTCCTCCTTTTCTATTGTGCGGTTTAGTTTCATATCTTAAAACCTCATTATTGTGACTAAGCAGACATCTGCAAACTAAGCAGATATTGAAAACCCAGTTATTTCAAGTATCAAAGTCATTTAACACCCAAATTTGTGGGTTGGGAGACTAATTTTCAGCCACATTATTGTGACTTTTTGTCTTTTTGAATTATCAGCAGGGAAGACCCTTAATTATAGACCTGTATCACTGACAAGTGTAATTAAAATAGTCAAAATAGTTGAAAAAATAATTAAAACTAAAATGGTAGAACACCTGGAGAAAAGTTACATAACAGACAGCATGGTTTTCAATCTAGAAGATCCTGTGTAACAAATTTACTTAGTTTCTATGATTGAGCCACAGAGATTTTAACGGAAAGAGATGGATGGGTTGATCGCATCTATCTGGACCTAAAAAAGACTTACGACAGAGTTCCACATACAAGGTTGTTCTAGAAACTGGAACATGCTGGAGAAGTGACAGGGAGGCTTCTAACATTGATGAAATATGTTCTAACTGACTGAAAAATTACTTAAACTAAGTAATCAGAGGAAATGTATCAGACTAGAGAAATGTCACTAGTGGAGTACCACAAGGTTTAGTTTTTACACTGGAATGTTTATTGTATATACAGGTATACATAAATGACCTACCAGAAGGATTACAGAATTTTATGAACATGTTTGCTGATGATGCTAAATTATTAGGGAAGATAAACTTAGACAATTGTTATACCTTTTAAGAAGACCTAGACAAAAGTGCATGGAGCACCACTTGGCAAATGGAATATAATGTGAATAAATGACATGTTTTGGAGTGTTGATTAAAAGAAATTAGATTAAACACAACCTACAAATTGTGTGAGAAAGCTTTAACAAATGATGATACAGAAAGAGATCCAGGGGTAGTTCTAGATAGAAAACTATCACCTGAGGACCACATAAAGAACATTGTGCGAGGAGCCAATGCTATGCTTTCCAAATTTAGAACTGCATTTAAATACATGGATGATGAAATACTAGAGAAATTGTTCATGACCTTGGTGAGACCAAAGCTGGAATATGCATCAGTTGTATTGTGCCCATATTTTGAGAAGCACATCAGCTAACTGGAAAAGTTACAAAAACATGCAACAAAATGGTTACCAGAACTGAAAGACAAGAGCTACTAGGAGAGGTTAGAGGCATTAAATATGCCAAAGCTAAAAGATAAGAAAAAGAGGAGATATGATCACTACGAACAAAACAGAAACGGGAATCAACAAAATGAATAGGGGTGAATTCACGAGACATGGAACTTCAAGAACAAGAGGTTATAGATTTAAACTAACTAAACAAAACTGCCAAAGAAATATAAGAAAATTCATTATTGCAAACAGAGTGATAGATGGATGGAACAAGTTAAGTGAGAAGATGGTGGAGGCCAAAACCGTCAGTAGTTTCAAAGCATTACATGAGAGTGCTAGGAAGACAGGACACCCAAGCCTAGCTCTAATCCTGTAACTACACTCGGGTAATTACACACCTGTCCTCTTCCCTTTTCTCTCCAGCTGTCCCATCAACATTAGCCAACTACTTTAGTGTTTTTCTCTACACAGTCTGTGTAGAGAATGTCCCACTACTCATTTGTTTCCTTAACGATATAAGTCTAACACAGTCTTCTTTTGCCTGCCTAATACTTAAATACCTATTTGCAACAGCAAACCAAGTCTGAATATAATTAACATAGAAAAAACAAAATTCTTCATTCTTGTCTAATCATTCAAAACAATGTTGCATAATTTAATTCACTTCTTGAAAAAGGACATGTAAAATCTCTTTCCATCCAAACTATAGATATTATTCATTCCTCAAATATATCTTGCTTATATCTCCTTTTTAATTAAATGTTTTGCTTCTGTAAATCCTTTACTACTCATGAAGTTGGAGTTCTAGCACTAAATTTTCCAATTATGAAAACTTCACCAGCTTTTACTTCCTTTTGTTTACTTTTAATTATGCCTTCTAGAAAGATACATTATACAAATTAGTTTTAATGAATATATTATTTTCTCCTTACCCAATCCCAGAGCAAAGTCTCGTAGTCATAAAGATGCCATAGGTGGGCATAAAGGCTGTCATTATCCCAAATAGAGCATTGACGAAGAGAGCAGAGAGTAGAGCTCGACGACGACCCACGTTGTCACTTAAACTTCCCCATATCATTGCACCAATCATCATTCCAATGAATGTAATTGCCGCTGAAAAGCAAATGCATAATATGTATATTATGCTGCAAACTGGCTTAAATAAGAAAATCACGATTTATTAATTAATACCTGAAATAATAATCAAGCATTGAGTGTAATGAAATGCCCTTGAATGGTGGGTTCTAAGTAACTCTCCAGAGCTACTATGCATGCTGGTATGTATAGCCAAATCTTAAAAATTGCACCAAGTCTCCGAGACCCACATTAACCAACTAAGAGCCTAGACCAAAGAGTCTAGCTGAAACAGACCCAGTGATGACATGTTGCAAAGCCCCACGGTGAGTGCAGTACCCCAGAATGAAAATAATCAACTCAATAGGGAAAATAGCCTTTTTTCAACAACATCTCCAATTTCTGTCCAATTTTGACAGTGTGTACAATGAACAGTGGACTGTCTTCCTCTTGCTTTGCAAGATGTTTGTCCATTTGCAAGTGAATCTGTTTGCCTCTGCCTGGAATTGGCATCTCCTAGTCTATATAGCACTTTTATAATCAAGAGGTATTTTTTGCTCAGACTGGGATTACATTTAACATTTCTCTCTGGTTAAGTTGATACTTCTCATTGCCTGTATGATACTCAGGTGGAGGAGGCCCATTAGAGTTGTAAATTCTCTTTCCTCAAAGTGCCAGTAGGAAGTGGCTATGTGGGTCATTATGTCTTTCCTTTTCTGGCTCTTTGTGAAATGCTGTTTGATGCCTTATACTGTTGCTGCATATCATTTGACTTTGCCAAAACCTCTTAATGGTATATAGGGTGGATATTTCCTCTCCCACCTTTCTCTGGCTGCCTTAGGCATACGTTTCCCTCTGGCCAGCTCATATTCCGCCTGAACCTTATTGGTCTTCGGTATTTCTGTTCACTCATTTTAGGGTGTCCTCCCTTAGCAGAGGGGGAACCCTAAAATGGCAATTGTAAGCCATTTTAGGTCTTCCAGCAGATGGAGGAAACTTTTTTTTCTTGGCAACTGTAAGCATGGGAGGACATTATCAGGTAGGGAGTTTGACTGGGGCAGTACATCTGTCAAACGACAACGCTGGTGTCCTAAGCAGCTCAGCGTGGACAGAAACCTCCCATAGAGAAAAATGCCAGTTACAAAAATCAATTATTAGGCTCTCTCAAGCCTGGTAATTATTTTCTGTATGCAGATTTCTCTGTCATTTCTGGATATGAACAAAAAAAATTTCCAATGGGGTCCTTGAGTAACTGTTGCCTGGTCTGTCTGGCCAGGAGTGAATCATACTGTCCTGTGGCAGCCTTGCAACAATATTTACATGCTGTCCAGGTCAAAACATTATTCGTCAACCCAGTCTCTTGCATTCCTTTTTCAAAGGTCAGATTCTCCCAGGTCATCTGGAGTGGCTTGGTTCAGCAAGCAAGCTGTCTATCCTCATTTTCATGATGAACATAAGTTTGCCATTTTGACAGCTTTAAATATGTCCATGGGTAATATCCAAGCTAGAAACTTTTGGTGGTCCATCATGGTATTGATTTCTTGTTACTTGGACGTTCTGAAGCTTTGATGTGCCTATGTGGCAATTGCATAATTAGCATGCAGTTGATGCATCATCTTCCAAGGATAGAGTTTTGCCCGAAATGCTATGCATACTTGTGGCTTTAGGTATTGTATGTATTATCTCTTATCTTTAAATCCAACATTATGTATGTAACTCAATGTATGTACCTTTACCTGAATAAAAAATCTAAATCTAAGATAGGCATTTTCTGCTTTTCATATTGCAAATAATCTTGTGTTTTAATTTAGAGAAGCCACTCACCTTTGCTGAGGTGACACTGGGAGTAAGCTCCTGGGAGCTACTTATGGAAGCTCTCCCTAAAATCAAACTTTAAATGTAATGAAATGACTTTTTGTGGTGGGTCTTCGGTAGCTCTAATCTCCGACCTTGTTCCCTTCTTCCCCTTGGGATGTTTGTGGACCAGTACTAGCATTCATGACTGAAGTGAGCTGCTCATTTTGAGCTCAGGTAATCCGAGCCACCATCTGGTAGTAAGTAGTCAGGTGTAACAAGGTTGAGAGATGCTCCCTTGTGGAATGATTATTTGCCTTGTATGCCTTCTTTCAAGCAGTTGCTTATTTTTTTTCGCTTACCAATACTGGTGAGTTTTTCTTGGTTTTGGGTAGATCTGTGATACCCTGACGCACCCCTTTTCCTGTACAGAGAACAAGATTCTGGTCAATTTGGGTCTCAAATACCTGGTGCAATTCCAGAACTGGGATATACTAGCACATAAGTTACAGAGCACTCCTGAGGGTCCACTAGAAAAGGAGTTTCATTACTATATATATTCGTTGCTTGATTTTTACTCTCCTTTATAGAGATATGATGTCTTGTCTTTATTGTAAATGCAGTACACATATATATGTTCATTGGGCACACAGGATAATTGTTCTCACCACAAGCACATATTCCTTTTTCAACCAAGAGGTGAGGTGGCCCACCAGGCACCAGCCTCAAACTGGGATGCTGCTGTTCTACTTTGAAAATTCAAAGTAAATACATTAATTATGCAATATTTACTTTCCTTCTAATGTACAAAAGAACAACACCCATCCAAGCCAGCTCCTTCCTCCATTCCTACTACAACTAATGTTTTATTTTGTATACAATATCCTAACTTTCCTTGCTTTTTTGTGACAATTAATTTCATTACATATCTACAGTACTCTATGCTATGAATAGTTGCATAGCTTCATATGATTTCAAAACCGATTGTAAATATGTGCTATTCTCCATTTGCATGGAGGCATTGTAGAGCGTGTCACCGAGTAGTGCAGAGGTAATAAGTCATCCCTCACTCCCCCATCGCTGTCAATACACCCACTGCTACTCCCTTCATATGATGCCATTTCCAACACTTTGCACCATGTTACTCATTGTGGATGGGTTGCATTGACGATCAGCATAGCAAGTCACTGCAGGCTACAATACCACATTGAGGCAGCATGGGTAACAGAATGCTGACAATGTGCAACACTGAAAAAGAAACATCCCGCTTCACCACCAGTCTGCCATATTCCCATAACTTTGTATGTGCTAATAAAATATATAACTATGGGTTTTGTGTTGCTTGCTGTCAACTTTGACTAAATATTTTGTGGCAGTTGGCAATGCAAGCTCAACATGCACAAGTAAGTGCCTCATGATTTTGGCAGCCTTTGTTTCTTCAATTTATTAAATTTATTCTGCATTAAATTTATGTGAAATTTGAGAATACAGCAATTTCCCTTAATATAGTTTTTAGCTGGAACTGTCATTAATAAAGGCTGATATATGGTAAAACATGCTCTGCACAATAAGTATTTCATTGACGAAGAGCAAAACAAGCCATAAACTTTAATGATTTACAAATGGAAGGGCAAAAGTGTTTGTTTAAATTTCAAATTTGCCAAGTGTAAAAGAATTCTCAAGTAATTTCTTCATTCAAATGCCCATTCATGCAGCCTTATTAAAGTAAAACTAGTTAAGCATTTTTAACATCATACTGGTTGTTAAATACCTGCTTAAATGTTGATACTGTACTGTACTTTTAATATTATAAGGATCATTTCAAAATGCTGCATCTTTATTTACAGTACTGAAATATTACAACTGTCTAAATACAGTATGCAATTCAAATCAATGATAAGATCTCACCGAGCCAGCCTTTTTGGGTGCCAGACATGCAGAGCTCAACCTCTGCTGAAGGGATAACGTAGGCCACTACAAGCAACTCAATGGTGTCGGCAGCAAGACTCAGACCTGCGACCAGCAAGAGAAGGCGCTGGAATGGCCCTGTTCCAGCCTGAAGAGGGGTCAGTACAAGCAATGAGCATCATGCTCTCCAGTATTGACCTTGAACTTAAAAACAAAAAATCAGTGGCAAGTGAAGTTTAGTGAAGATTTGTTAAGCATGCACTAAATAAAGGCTAGTATGAGCATCCAGCAGACCTGATGTTCCTATTATTACCCTGCCACAGGGTGCAGAGAACATACTTACCTCCACCATCATCAGACTTTACTTACCATAACTATCGGGCACCACCAAGCTGTATTTATTAGGTTAAATTAAAGGTAACTCGCATTTACAAGCTGCAGTCTTAGCTACAATGTACTTGAATCACAAATATTTTCATATTCTGTACTGTAATATGAATACTGTATAAATTGCCCGAAACGCTATGCGTATTAGTGGCTTTAGGTATTGTATGTACTAGCTCTATCTATAAATCCAACATTATGTTTGTAACTCATCATTTATGTATGTACAGTACTTTTACCTGAATAAAATTTTGAATTTGAATTTGAATTTAATTTTTATATTTTTATATAGGATAAATGAGTAATATGGAAATTATCCTATACTACTCTACATAAGGCTTCTATCACATGACAAAATTATTTACAGCCAATTATTTGGATATGAGTAAATCCTAAGACATGGCTTGACAGAGTTTTCCCCATAGGAAAAGGCTTGGCAGTGGCTATCAGGGGAAAGCATCAAGCCATTATAATTATATAGCACTTGGAAGGGGGTCAGGATAAGGATTTGAGCTTTACGGTAGAGCGACGGTCTCGTTTCATGCAGGTCAGTGTTCAATCCCCGACCGTCCAAGTTGTTGAGCACCATTCCTTCCCCCCATCCCATCCCAAATCCTTATCCTGATCTCCTTCCAAGTGCTATATAGTCGTAAAGGCTTGATGCTTTTCCCTGATAATTCCCTCCTTCCCTCCCCTGTAACAGATAGTAATATTAGGTAACATATTATAAGAATATATAGAAAAAATGGGAACTTCCATAGCAAAGTACTGATGAAAATGTAGATAGGAATGAGTAGTAAAAATGCAGCAAGACAAATAAGAAAATATAATCAAAGAATTTATATACTGTACACAATTTTTAGCCAAAAAAATATGAAATCAAGCTGACCACTAGGTAACACTGGCATTTGCACATAGCAACAGAAAAGAACCATTAACGGGGAAACTGGTTCCCACTTTGCTTCCCACAAAAAAAGTGCTTTCATAAACACCTGCAGTTAATGAGTCTTCATTTAACAGAAAGTAGTGTGGTCAGTATGTATTATAAACCATATAATGAATTACAGTACATGTAAATTTGGTATTCCAGTTGTTGGGTACTTCTACTGTTATTAAAGTACAGTAACAAATCAATTTTTGCTCTAATTTTATGAATACCATAAGGATGCATAGTATGCTTGCCTCAGTTTTGTGGCTAGTGAAGAAAAGTTTTGTATGATTAATTAAATTAATATCATCATTATTCCATTTCCCACTTTCATGCAGCAGGATGGCATCGGCACATGAAAATGTTAAAGAAATGGACACTGCTTGATCGCAAGCGGGGATGTTTCTGACGGGGGAGAAAGAAACATTTGCGCAGCGCGTCCCGCGGCGCTGCGTGGGCAGTCTGGGGCGCGTATAAATACGGGGCACAGAGGGGCTCTGCCTCACTCCGCCTGCCCCGCCGCTGCCCTCGCAAAGGGCATATATTTTTTATATATATTCTTTATATTTTAATATAAACTTTATATATTTACTTACTTTATACATTTGAAACTTTATATATTTACATGTTCAATATTAAGTTTAATATAATATAAACTTTGTTTATATGTCTATAATATAAACCGTGTTTAATATAAACTTTATATATTTACTTACTTTATATATTTGAAACTTTATATACTTACATGTTCTGCAGAATTTAATCTTCAATAAATTTAAAGCCCCCATACTGCCAGTGTCTTTCTCCCCCTGATCAGAAAGTAATATTCAAGAAAAGCAATCCCCATGGCGCATAGTAGTAATGCATTCGCCTGGGGCTTAGCGAGCAATTTGGCCTGGGTTCGTATCTAAGCCAATCCTTAATTGTACGCCTCAATTCATCAAGCAGTGAATGGGTACCTGGTTGTTTAACCATTTGACGGGTCGTATTCCAGGGAAATTAACATTAAGGACCTGCCCGAAACACTATGCATGCTAGTGGCTTAACAAGAATGTAAGAACTCTTGTATGTATAAAAAAATAAAATAAAATGTCCAAATACATTGAAAAATTACATCCATTCTTTCACATCTTCCGCTGTAGTACTCTGGTACAGGAGGAAATAGGAAAAGTAAAAGTGGTATCACCGATCGGTCTGCTACTGTACCTCAAAGAACTTCGATCACCTGCTTGAGCAAGTCTGTGAGCTCCTGCCTGTAGAAAGGTTCCCTCCCTGGGAGGATGAACCATGCAGGATTATCATCAACAAGATGACAATGAAAAAGTCCAGCATGATACCACAAGAAATGGAGCATAAGTATCTTGAGGAAATTTATAAAGAAGCCGGATATGAATTAGATAAAATCCACACCAATGGGTCATCTAATCCTATCAATGGCAGAGCTGGGGCAGCATACACTGTAATTAGGAATAATGCCTTTCAAAACGGAAGTGAAGAAAAAGCACGTATTGACGGTCTGTCTAATTACCACAAGCTACCACAAGCTACACAAGCTTCACAAAGCTTCCTGGCAATACGTTAGTAATGAATATATATGATATATTTACTCAATATAATGTTAGTACTGAATGTACAACACGAAAAAACATAATTTTAATCTGAAAAAGTATCTTTTTATAAAGAAATTAGACGAAAATAAAGAAATAAAAAAAAAAAAATTTTTAGCTCCAATCTCCAGCTGGTGACGCCAAATCAAGTCGACGATCCAAGCGTCGGTTAGGTTAAGTTAGGTTAGGTTAGATTAGGTTAGTTTAGGTCAGCCTAACCTAACATATATTTATTCATTACTAACGTATTGCCAAGAAGCTTTGGGACGCTTGTGTAGCTTGTGGTAATTAGACGGACCGGATAGAAGAACAAATTAGTGAATCTTCTGTTCACTAGTACATTGCGGTTGCAGCTAGCAATCCCAATTATTATGGATGAAGAGGAAGGAGATGGCCGCGAGAGAGAATCACCAATAAGAAAAACTCCTCTTGGAATCAAATATCCATGGAGACTTGATATAGAAACAACAGCTAAACAGCGAAGCTGCAGAATCTGTGGTGAGTGACGGACACCGCCTTGACCACTACCTGAGAGAATGTGAACATCTAAGAGACATCGGAAATATGTGTAGCATAATAAACCTCATTGCTTGAGTTAGGAAAATACTGTCAAATATAATTGGTTTTCAAAAGATTCCCTCCCATTTTCCACCCCGAAGATAACGTCAGATTTTAAGAGTTGACAAACGATAATCTTGTTTGATAAGCTGTTCACTTAACACAGTTAAACAAATCCCATCTGTGTCTGGGTACATGTGACAGGATGAACAACCCAACGGGTTTTCTTTCTATTGGGGGATGTTGTACATGCTGTAATGGCGATATGTTCACTCACAGGATGAGTGGCGCTGCACCAATAAACCCCCTTCGGGGGAAAAAAATACAAAATTAAAATGGTACTCTGAGTTGGTCGATCTCTCTCCAATAGGTTCCATCACATGTCGGTATTAATGGCAATGAAGTGGCCGACGTAGCGACAAAGTCAGCGCATTGTCTCTTAGAACTTTATCCATGTGCCTCAGGACCTGTCAAAACCTTCCGGCAGCTCCAGCCAGCTTGCCTCGCGGGTTGGTAGGCATGCAGTAACCGCGCCAGCCCTTTGCTCCTCTTCTACGGCGAGCCTTTGGGAGGGCTCCTTCCTCCCCGTGTCCATGGGCTCGTCTCCGGATTGGGCACTCCTGCCTGACTTGGTAGGCTGCACATCTTCATCGTCTACGGTTGGTAGATTACCCATATTGCCAGTGTTTTTCGACCTAGGATAATGTGGAACACTTTCTCCACTGCCCACTATTTCATGGCGCTCACGTCAAACAAGTGTTGGAATACTGTATGTGGAAATGAACGAGCAGATGTGCTAGCTGCTGCAGGTGACCATATTGAATACTTCATACCCAAGACTTTTCTACAAATTAGAGGTATTGTCAGGCAACATCACCGTGACAGGGTAACTGAGGAAAGGAGGATAGAAGCACAAATCAGTGAAATAATAATAAACCCCACATTGAGTAAGGAAAACACTATTTGTCAAACAGAGATACTGTTCTTAAAAGATTCCCCCATTTTGCACCCGCAAGATAACGTAAGATTTTAAAGGTTGACGAATGTTAATCTTCTTGTTTGAGAAGCTGTTCACTTGACACAGTTAAGCAATTCCCAGCTGTGTTTGGGTACAAGTGACAGAATGAACAACCCAGCGGGTTTTCTTCCTATTTTGGAGTGTTATACATGCTGCTATGGCGGTATGTCCACCCACCGGATGAGTGGCGCTCCCCAATAAACTCCCTCCCTCTGAGCAAAATTAAAAAATTAACAGAGTGCCATTCGTAGGCTGCATATTCCTCGCCTCACGGTTCCCGTTCTCCTTGACGAGGCACGTGCGAGAGACAAGGTATCCGTTATGACATCCTTCGCCATACCTACTGCTTCGTTCGTCACGTCCATGGTCTGAAGAGACTGTAGGGATCCCATCACTCTTCGCTATATTTCCCAGTAACGGATTATTTTGTTGACTTAGCTAAATGAATTGTCGGGGTTCAGTCCCTGAGCCCCTTATGTGCCTCTGTAACCCTTTCCACTACCGCTCACAAGATTGTGTATGGGGACCGGGTGCATAATAATTCAAGGGACCCAGAATGTGGAATGACCTTCCCAATACAAAGGCTGTACCTCTCCCAACCAGTTTAAGAGAAAAACTATAATTACTACCCAATAAACTCCATGTAACGTACCTTCTTACCCCTTAACTGTCAACCATGTCTTGCTATTTTCTAACAATACTGTTTGTTGGACAACTTATATAAATACTGATTTCCGCTATGTTTTTATTTCCCCCCTTTTTCAGCTTAATTTATGCTTTGATCTCAATTAGTATTAAGTTTTAGTCTACGTGTTTCCCCCACACCTTGCCCGAAACGCCGTGCGTATTAGTGGCTTAAGGCATTGTATGTTTTTTTTTTTTTTTTTTTTTTGAGATATATACAAGAGTTGTTACATTCTTGTACAGCCACTAGTACGCGTAGCGTTTCGGGCAGGTCCCTGGAATACGATCCCCTGCCGCGAAGAATCGTTTTTTCATCCAAGTACACATTTTTCTGTTGAGTTAAACAGAGGCTACAGTTAAGGATTTGCGCCCAGTAAATCCTCCCCGGCCAGGATACGAACCCATGACATAGCGCTCGCGGAACGCCAGGCGAGTGTCTTACCACTACACCACGGAGGCTGGTCAATGTACTAGCTCTATCTAGAAATACTACTATCTTAACTATACTATACTTACTATACTATACTATAACTTACAATACTTAATACTAATTGTACTAGCTCTATCTAGAAATCCAATATTATGTTTGTAACTTTACTTTTACCTGAATAAACATTTGAATTTGAATTTGAATTTGAATAAATTAACTAAACTAAACTAATCCAGTATCGGGCAACCGTCATGAACTTGCATTACCATACACCACCACCCAACAGTCATAAGATTAGGTGTCCAGTTCTCATCTTAATTTATTTATTTATACAAGACTTGTTACATTCTTGTAAAGCCACTATTACGCAAGCACAATTAGGTGAGTTCAAATGCATAGTCTTTCGACCAGGTCCTTATTCTAACATATAAAGTAAAAGTATTTAAAAAGTTCAGTGAAGCTAAATTTGAGTTCAACATAATAAATTGATGGTATTGATTATACTGGTGAAGTTTCATGTCTTAAGTATTAACATAGGTTGTTAATAATTTAGGTTTGAGATTTTTGTAATTCATCAGGGAGTGAGTTCCATAGACTGGAATCTATTATTTGCATGGAGAGTTTGCACAGATTTAATCTGACTCTAGGGATATTAAAATAGATATTTATTCCTCGAGTGGTGCCCATGGGTTCTGTTCCATATATCAAGAAGAGGTTTCAGCTCGGGATTAGCATTTAGGAACAAAGTTTTGTACATGTAGATAGTAGAAGAGAATGTGTGTATGTTCGCATGTTTAGGGATTTAAACAGAGGGGCTGTGTGTTGTCTGAAGACAAGGTTATAGTTCTGAGAGCTGATTTTTGCTGGGTGATGATGGGCTTGAGGTAATTTGCAGTGGTTGCAGTGCACAGATACCGTATGTTAGATAGGGATAGATTAGTGAATAGTATAGTGAAAGGAGAGCAGAGTGGGGGACATAATATCTGATTTTAGAGAGTATTCAGACAGTTTTTTATACTTTTTTGGCAGTGTTAATGTGAGTGCTGAAGTTTAGTCTCCTGTCCATGTATAGACCATGGAACTTTTCAAAATTTTTAATGTTAATACTAACATTGTTTATCTGAAGGTGAATTTGGTTTGATGATTTACTTCCAAATAAAATCTAGTAGGTCTTTTCTATGTTTACCATAGTGTGAGTCTACTGGATGACATCCATGGGTGAACCTTTTTTAATTCGTTATTTACAATATTATTTAGTGTATGGGTTGGGGTCTGAACAGAGGAAGGTAGTATCGTCAGCAACTGTCACTATTGAGGTACATAGCACCAAGGAACCACCAACAGGAGCCTTTCTAGAAAATGATGTCTAATTATATTTGCAGCACAAGATATGAATACAGTAATGAGCTATATCAAGGGTTCTAGCACTGTAATTTACAATTATCACAACACTGTAATAAATACTTTACAGCTCATTAGTCACATCTGATATGAATGCAATGGGTCTCTAGATGGATCTAAATAGTTTTGCAATCATCTGCAAATGATTACATTTGCAGATGATTAGATAGTATACCTGCTGAATGGCATCCTCGTGGAACTGGGAAAGAAGTGGCGCATCACTCTCGACAAAGTCCAGTTCATCTGCTCCTTCTAAACTGCCCTCTGTAGCATTACCTTTACCTCTTCCTCCTCCACCTCCTCCTCCTCCAGTTCCACCACCACTGTGACCTCCGTCACCCTCCCTCAGCATGCCACTTTCAGACATGTAGCTCCGCCCGCCACCACTGCCGTGACGCACCAGGGACGCCGACTCCAACCCGTCCCCTCCTCCACTCATGATAACCCTGAAAAAAAGTTTATCTTATTGACCAGAATTTTAAAGATTTATTTGTAGCATTTACTTTGAAAACCAAAACTCCCAAATCTTCTTATTATGTCTGAACTGATAAGAAACAAATTCAGAAATTAGAATCTTTCTCATTGTTAAAAACGGTAGTTAACATTCTTCAGCTACCTTAGGTTATAAAATACTGTATTGCAAAAATCGGCTATGCAACAAAATAATAAAATAATAAATTCTCCTAGTTCACTGGAGGTCTTATAAGGATGGTGATTAAATTAATACTGCATTTTCAAAATAATTAATCATATAAACATAGAGATATATAGTAATCTATATAAAAATACAGTACTCTAATGTGATAATTTAAGTAATTGTGTTTGACTTGAGTCATTCAGAACTACTTGAAGTGTTGTTAGCCCTCAACCGTTCCTGGTACAAGAGTTGACTTAGCTCTGGAATGATTTTTGTTGCCCGGTGTTGCACTTTCTCCAGAGCGGCTATATCATTCTGGAGATGAGGTCTCCATGCTTGCATACAGTAATCCCAATTTATCAATTAACAGGTCAATTCCATCTTGTCAGTTTCCTGTTTGCATGATGCCTGGAGCAGTATGTTGTATGTTCCGTCGTGTTCTGAAAGTTGGCAGTGTAATTTGGTGCTACTGTAGTTGGCTAGACATACATTAATTGGTTTGTTTGATGTATAATGCCTCGCCGATATCAAGTCTTCTGTTGTCGCAGTATCTGTCGATCATTTTACTGTTGTTTGTCAGGAAATCTCTGGTGATGGTCTGGTCAACATACTTTAGCCACGTTATTGTGACTCATCGCCTGCACCTGGTCTGGTTATGTATAGAGACTATATTTTCTTTAATAGGGCCTTGCTGCTTGTGCATTATTAGGCATCTTGAAATAGATGTTGTTGTCTTGCCTATATATAGAATTCGTTGGGGCTGACAGTCCCCAAGTTGTCATGTGAAGGCATAGACGATATTCGTCTCTTTGAAGTGGGTTTTGCTTGGGGTCAGGTGAGTTCTTTATGAGCACGTTGGCAGTCTTCTTGCTCTTATAGTGTATTGTTAGTTCAATCTTCTGGTTGGTGTCAGTAGGGGTCACATTTCTATCACTGATGTTTTTCAGGACCCTCTCTTCTGTTTTGTGGGCCGTGGAGAAGAAGGTCATGTACAATATTTTAATATTAAGGACCAATAATGTACGTTGTCTGTTATATCTGAAGTCGCATGGCGGCTCACCTTCCTTATGATGATGTCCTCGACATATCCATTAGATTATCCATTATTGATCAGGACCTGTCTTACTCTACCGAGTTCCACGTCAACCTACTTCCACCTGGAGCAGTTGGTTGCCGTCCTCTTAAAAAATAACGCCACTTTTCGCTCGTATGCGCGGCCTGTTGACATCAACATTGACAACAATCCGCGTGTACCTATCAGGGCACTCACTCTTAGCGTTAAGGCACATTCTCTTGTTAGTTCCCTCAGTGTAACTGCAGTGTTAAAGCCTCTATTCCTTTCCGAGACTATTACGTGTACGAGAGGTAGTTTACCTTCATTCTCAATCTCATAAGTGAACCTTAGCACTGAACTTTGTTTGAATGCATCATTACGCTGCAACAAGTGCTCAATATCAAGAGTAACAAAGGACACGGGTCCTCCTGAGTAACAAACGTTTCGCTGGTTGTTCAGAGTGGCAAACGTTACTCGTCCAGAGTGGCAAACGTTACTCGTCCAGAGTGGCAAACGTTACTCGTCCAGAGTGGCAAACGTTACTCGTCCAGAGTGGCAAACGTTACTCGTCCAGAGTGGCAAACGTTACTCATCCAGAGTGGCAAACGTTACACTAATTTCCAAATTAAACTTTATACATCTTTAATTTACATAAAAGTATGCAAAGATAATTAATTACACACATTATGTTGAGAAGAATAACTCGTTACTGACTGCGACAAAAAAAAATTTTCCTGATAAAAGCAAAACAAATTTGAAAATATAGAAACAAATGATTAAAATAACAATAATTGCCAATAATACATATTTAAGTGAAATGTTTACCATTGACTGGGATTGGAGGGAAGGGAGGGTGGGGGGGTAGAAAGCAAACCTGTTAAGCTATTGGAGATCTTCCTATAGGCACGACTGACCCTCTTTAAGAAGCAACACATAACAGTTGCCTAACTACCCAACCATGTAGTTCAGACCAGATCAGAGGTCAGTTGAACTCCCGGTGCAATTCTTTTTCCATGTCGTGGCACAGTCGATTAAGGCGCGTCTGGGATCCTCTCGGACGTAGGTTCAAACCCTCATCACGGTCCTCATGGATTTGTTCAAATCAGAGAGCTTTGCATTTCAAACCCCAATTGTTTCTTACAAAACTTTATAAACTTCCACCGAATGTGCGCTGTGCAATAACATATAATTAGTGAAAGAAGCGTGCGAGCGGCAACCCGTTCTCGCACTTGCTTGTAGTCAATATTGGCTTATTTAATAAGTGCATATGTGACATACTATGTGAGAACGTGTTGCGGGCGGAGTGATGGCAGGGCGTCTTTAAGGAGGTGCGTTGCGTGTTAGTAATGGGTTAAGCCCAAGGTCGAATTTCACAGGCTCCAGCCTGGGTGTGTGAGCCTTCCCAATAGTGCATCGCGCTGACCCACCTTAAAGGCCATTGTAATAAGGTAGGCGCGAGGGAACGGCAGGAAATCTCGCTCTCTTATTTTAATTAATGATTGCAAAACCCTTTAATTTTGTGTAACGGGTTATTAAAACAAAATGATGAAAATTGATTATGTCGTAGAAGCGGAGTTAACTGTTTTCACGAGGATCAGATCATTATATTAATTTGAGGGATAATGTATATGGTTTTTTCAACTTAAAAAAAATGGGTTTATTAGGCAACGCCATTACACACCACTATAGAATGCAAACATGGGTTATTTACAATAAAGGGGTGAAGGAGACTTGACTGAATATACATCTTTCAAAATTTCTCCCAACAGAAGGCAAACAGAACCTCAAGTCAAAGGCTGGATCTTGTCCGTATTCTTGAAGAAAAAGACCAAAGGCTCGTATTACTATTTTAATATGTGACGGGAATCGGAGAAGAACGAAGGGTGGAATTGGTGAAAAATTGTAAAGGAGATGATTTTAAATTTACTAGATTTATATGAAACAAAGCTTAGAGGAAGTTAGAACGTAGACGAAAGTGTTGACCAATCCACACACTAGAAAATGGGACGACGACGTTTCGGTCCGTCCTGGACCATTCTCAAGTCGATTGGTTTCCCGATTCCCCGTAGTCACTGATAGTAAGTAATTATCAACAGAAGGCGCCAAGCCGGAAAGACTCTGTAGCATTGTTGTCAGTCACTGATAGGTAAGCACCAAGCTCTTTTTTCACCAGCAGCAAGGCCCCGAGGGGCGCACGACAGGCCTTCTCCCCAACGGTGTACCTCTCATTCATCTTCTCTTCCTTGTGGGAGTGTTGCATGGTAATAATGCCTGTTAAGTGTAGAGCATATAGGAGAGTGAGTGGAGGGGTGTGGGTGTGGGTGTGGGTGTGGGTGTGGGTGTGGGTGTGAGGGCAGACATGTGGGACGGGAAAATGCGTGCTTGAGAATGTGTGAGAGTGGTGCCCGGGCGTCACCATGGCGACGTCCCCTCCTAGTCACACTCCCTGTCTAAGGCACTTATTTGTAAGCATCTCTGCATCTTGTTCATGTCGCACGTCCCTTCCTAGTGGGACTATTATCCAAGAGTAACGTTAATTCAACGTTGAATTAACTTTACCCTTGGATATTGAAGCCACTGGTTCTGTTCACCTGTTTCACTCTTCCTTTCAGTAACTCTCTCCCCAATCTCTTTCCTTCTGTATTGCCCTTTAACTTATTTGTTTCTGTTTCACAGTTAGTCTCCCACTGAAGAATTGGGAACTGCCTACGATGGTCCTGTGCACCTGGAGTTTCCTTTATTCTTATCTTTCCTTATGCCGAAAACAGAAGCATATTTGGCCTAGGTTGTCTGTGGCGGTCACCACCCAGTTACTGGTCAGACACAAAGAAGTTTAACCGACTCACTGAGCGAGCTTGAAATTACTGCATTTTTTTTTTTTTTTTTTTTTTGCCTCACGTATAACTGATTAAACACGTGGTGTGGATTAACGCCTTCCAACTTGTGCAGCATGTCAAGTCTATGAGATCAGCCCCGTCGTAATGTGGCCAGAATTATGAGTGATGCTTCTGGTAAGAGAGTTGACATCTCTTTCGGAGGATTTTCGTCGCCTTTTTTTTTTGTTAACTTTTATAATGTATTTTTGTAGGTCAGGCCCAGGTGACTTGTACAGCTAGATGACAACTTTCTTCTCCTTGAAGTTAAAGAGTCATTTGATTATTCCCTGTGATAGTTGACTTTTATGGCAGCTAACTTGCTGCGCAACTTTTTCCGTAAGAATTGGCCGGTGCGGCGCCACCACTCTTATCTTTATGAGGGTGAATATTCAACTTGCTATGTATAAATCATTACAAGTCCGTGTAAAGTACAGTTGGTTTCATTCTTGGCTCGCAGTCGGTGATCCTGAACTGGATTCCCGGGCAGCATAGAAATGGTTGGGCACGTTTACTTTCACCTAAACTCTGGTCTGTCCATCTAAAAATAAATACGTACCTAGGAGTTAGGCAACTGTTGTGGGGTTAATCCTGGGGAGGGTCAGTAGTTCGTCTTTGGGGAGAAAGGGGGGCACACACACACACACACACACACACACACACACACACACACACACACACACACACACACACACACACACACACAGCGATGCAAAAATTATGAGGAGGATTGAAACAGAGGATGATAGTAGGAGGCTACAAGATGACCTGGATAGACTGAGTGAATGGTCCAACAAATGGCTGTTGAAGTTCAACCCGAGTAAATGCAAAGTAATGAAACTAGGCAGTGGAAACAGGAGGCCAGGCACAGGATACAGAATA